GGCGCCGCCGCCCCTCCCCACCCGTTCCCCGTCCACGAGCGGCTATTACTTTCGGGCATCTCGTTTGCGCCGCGACCTCCCGCGCCGCCGCCGCCGCCGCCGCCAGCACGCCGCTTCCACGAAGTCGATTCCTTTCCTCTGGCAGGGCCGGCGACCGCGCGCTCGCTTCGCAGCCTGTCGCACGCCCTCCCGCGCCCGAACGCAAAGCCAGCCGCTCATCAACAAAGAAAATTGCGGCGTTTTCGCCGTCTTTGATGTTTGTGTTGTGGCTTTCTAAATAGCGCCTAATGAACCATGCAAAATTTTAAGTTGAAGCGAACACGAATTTTGGTCGTATTAAACTCTGCGCTGAACGAAGGCTCTAGTTCATTTCGTCTTGAAATGAAGCAAAAATTAGAGGTCTAGTTCATTACGCCTTGAAATGAGGTAAAAATGAAATAATCTTATCAATCACGTCAACGGCATGACCATCCAAAATTAACAGAATAAGAAAACGAACTCTTTTAATAATATCAAATTTTACTAAAGAAATATTCATGATGTGGTTAAACTGATGGGAAAACAAACAATGGATTCTTGAAAATATAGACTACAAGTGTGATATAATACAACAAGATTCAAGAAACATTATTGTGAGATAGTTACCTTAAAATCAGTACTGTTTGATTCTCTTCAAAAAAATTAATTTTTTTTTGATATCATGGATAAAAGTATTGCAAATTGCCTCCGAAAATTGTATTTTACTGGAGTCACAATTTATTTTCCCAAAAGTGAATAATTTTTTCCATAACCGCAAGTAATGCATGCTGTGGAGAAGGTGTTTCTTAATCTCAGTGTATGTGATCCCTACCCGACACACAAGACACAATAAGACAGAGTTGAATATAGACAACATAATCTTGTTACGCTGAACACAATGCAAGTTCGTTTTCTGTTAGGGCTTTATACTATCTGACAAGAAAATTACGATACGTATGAAGTATCGTGAGAAGTATGCTGACAGAACACTATATTTGTATCACTTCCCACCTTCAAACAATTTACATAAATTAAGCGGTAATAACGTTGGCAACGTTTCTTTCTTCCTACTGCCAGTCTCGAATCACCTTCGACCAGTAAAGATTGTTATTCCGAGTTTCGATTCGGCGTACGATGTTAATGGCGCCTCGCAGTCGACCTTTCCCTAGGCACAACAGCATTAGCCGGGTGGGTGGGCATTTCTCGAAAACTTCCCAGAGCGGCGCGGCGCGAGAGACAATTGCGGAGCGCCCAGCGCAGAGCGACCTTCACCTCGCGAGGCGTGGCCCAGAGCGAGCGCCACGGTGCCCGGTCCCCTGCCCCCACAGCGCCGCCACAGCGCCAGTGGAAAGTGCAGTGGGGAGTTTCCGTATTTGAACGAAAGAGATCTTATCACGAGGGGCGGAAAATAATGAAGTCTTTATTTTTCTTTTCTCTTTAGAACAATACCTCTTAGTATAGAAATTAATTTTGTGTTTTGACAAAAGGAAATTACCCATTTTAGATGATATTTTTTGCATTTTTTGTCAATTTCAACTAATAAGTAGTTTTTTTTAGGTTTCGGGCGTTTTTAAAACACGTTTAGGTGATTTAATGGTATTTGTTTCAAATAATATTTACGAAATGAAACAATTGTTCTCGACAGAATTCCTGGGTAGCCTATTTGATTTCTTTGCTCAGAAACTGTAATGTCAGCCGTTGTATGCAACACCAGGTTCCTGTGGCAGCATCGTTGTCGGGTCGCAGATTTCGCGAGAACCAAAGGCAGCGATTTCTTGGTAAAGAATAGTGCAAACCTGAAGTTTACAAGCTCAATTCACTTAAATGGAAAGAAGAATTCTCGATTTCATCAGAACATATCCAAAAGCTTGAGTTGATGTTGACTGGTTTTGATAACAAATTTTACGTCATTTTTCTTTGCTTTTAGGACATTTTATGGGCATTTTATTGATCATTTTTGGCGGTGTTTTAGGTCATCAAAATCCACCCACTACTTATCACTTTCACGCCGGGCCCTTCGCGTCTGCGTCTCGTGGAATCTCGGGCAGTTTCGACAATGCTTTCTTGGCTTGCACGAATTCTAGTGGACGGCTTCTCTGAGGTAGTTTTCCTTAGTCTCTTTTCCCGATCAATATATGGCGAATGCCGGAGTAGTTCCTACACAAACGGGCCACGGAAGCGCTGCCTCTTCGTCCTCATGTCCCCTGACACACTTTCACTACAGAACAAGATCTCAAGAGACAGAGAGGAGCTCAGAGCTTGTCCTGGCCGGATCGGTGCTTGAGAGAGATAACTGGAAGGAGAAACCTCGGAAGCAGACGTGTAGGCCA